ATTTAATAGATTCGACATTTAGATTTTTTTTACTGAAAACCATTAAAATTTTAAAATTATAGGGCTAAAATTAATTCTTATATAACAATTACCACTTAGAGAAGTGTTATCTACTTTTTAAAATAAAAATAAGAGAAGATAAATATAAAATTTAACTTTCTAACCTTGCGGAGAGAGGTGCACCCAGTCAAAATCGCATTATGTGATACTTGAAGTGTGGATTCAAGCATCTATATTTCAATAATTTTTAAAATTATAACACTACTATATATGATCTCGGGAGGGAACCATGGGTTCACGTGAACCCAGTGACCCCCCCTAGATATGCCTCTGATCTTACTGTGGACTAACTATCAAGGCAAAGCCTCTAATAAAGATATAGATCAATTGCCTAATGAAATTCAATTTCAACTTTAATATGATGAAATAACAAAATTTGAAACTATTTCAACCAGTCTAAAACTGATTGACCATTTATGCTATCTGAAAATTTAGAAACCACAATGCATTTTCAATCAAGCCAATATATGTATCAGCTTCAACTGATACAAAATTCAGTTAGTTGAAACTATTAAAAAGTATCTGATAAAGTTCCAGAAAAGCAAAATGAGTTTGCTTGGCTTTCCAACATGCAGAAACATACAGCAATGGTCAGCCAGCAACAAAGTGATAATGTCTTATCATATAACCACAACAGTACATGAATCCAACTTGTTAAAAACAACAAATAGATGAAACAAAATAAGCTACATAAAAACATAAACAGTAAACAGGGAAAACAGAGCAACTTTTGATAAATGAGGAGAAAATCTTTTTACTCGGCAATGATTATGTATTTGATTGAGGCACAGAAAAGAGAAGAAGATTAATGGGACAATAACATGTTGTTGGAGACATTTATATAGATCAGTGAAGTATCTGAAAAAGTTTTGAAATAGCTGATAATTAAAGCAACGAAACTTGAGCATTGGAAAAAATGGATTGTTCCAGTGATTGAGGGAGGTTGAACAGAAACTATATGTTTCTGGAGAATTAAATTAGGGGTGAGATTATCAGCAAATTAATATTTAATTAATATTGTAGGGGTAAAACAGTAAATCAACTTTGGGGTTAAGCTCTTCCCACTTATAGTAATATATGATATGATATGATGATGATTGTGAGAAGAGGATTAAAGTAAATTACTTTCATATATTAGTTAAGTTTATCCTTAAATATCTCGTAATTTAAAGATATGTATATAGAATGAAGTTTATACTTTATCGGGTAAATTTTCATTCTTCTGTATGTGTAGCACTAAAGTTATATTAGCACAAACTTCTTAAACAATGACTTCTGTTTTTCATTCGTTATTCGCTTTGGAGTTTAACTAAATTCGAATTTGCGTCGAACATCCCATATTGTGGGGTAAAACTAGGGCTGGACATAAAATATCAAAAATCGAATTAGCAAATCAAAACAAAAATTTTGATAATTTGATATTTGATATGGTATTCAGGAGTAAGATTTTAGAATTATGGTATTCGGGTTAATGTTTGGAACAAGAAATTAGTGTCATTTGGTATTCTTTACTGAATTATTAACTTAATGGAAGTCATATATTAACAGGTTCATTACTCATTAGTACAAGTTCAAACAGAAAGTTAAAGACTGAACATGAGTAACTCAAATACACATGACTTTTAGTTGTGTCAAATTGTTTTTCTTTGATGTCTTCTTACTTGTTGATATTCTATTGTATTATGCATCCACATTGAAAAATGAAATATTTGGAACAACAATATTAACTCGGTAATACAATCAGCTACAACTTCAAGATACTATTGTCGAATATTGTACCGAATCGGAGTTTGACTTACAGATTATCGAATTACCGAATCAAAAATTAAAAAATCGATATTTGTATCTATTGTTAACTATCAATTATCGAATTATTAACTCAAAATTTGAATATCCCAAACCGTTATTGAACGCCCATCCTAGGTAAAGTGCTTCTTAACAAAGGCGAGTCCATACTGAAAGAGACTAAAATGAGCTTAAATAGCAAAACAAAAGGATATCATGGATAATTATACATGTCAATACGTAAAGTTTACTTACCATCTCTTTATCCCAACTTATATAAATTAGGGAAAATAGTCATTCAGCCATATAATTTACCAAAAAAATGACTGATGCAACCTCTCTCCTCCTTCGTCATCTCTCCTCCTTTCCATCCCCATCATCCTCCTCTTCCTTCTTCTTCATTGCTTTCCTCTTTTCTTTAAAATTTGTCGTATCACAAACGTGAATCATTTCAAGCGAATTATATATCAAAAGATTTAAAATATTGAGAGAATTTCATATCTAAAATGTAGGATTGTTTACAGGTGATTTTGAGTTGATCGAGATTGAATCATCGGTGTATTATTCATGTATAATTAAGTTCTATATAGCTTTTTGAGTGTATCGTATAGTCAGTGTATAGCTCATGCATATACAAGCTATATTCAATTTATTTAGTGTATCTTAATGTATAGTCAATGTATACTTTCTATGATTTTTGACTATTTTTTATGTAAGCAAAAACACAACCATATATGTTGTAAACCAATTACTTTATTGTATGTATTTGAAACTATCTCGTAATGTTATTTATGCAAATCACCATTCATTTCATTGATGAGAGTTTCTACTACTTATTCTAACAACTGAGCCCATCAGTGTTGGGCTAGCCCTCTTCTAGAGTGAAATACCATGCCCGCTACTAACTCTGAGAGACCCAGCCCAAAGATCACATTGGATCTGCTCATTTTCGAGAATAAACTAAAAACATCGTTATTCCCTCCATTTCAATTTGTATATTTAATTTTCCTCTGTTATTTTTAATAAGTAAATAAATAAATATTTTTCATATGTGGTAAGTTTTCAAATTTCAACAGTCTTATTTTGCCCATGGTAACAGCTTTTTTTTTTATAGGAATACTAACATGCCTTCTTTAGATTAAGATCGTAAAATTAAGATTTTTTTATTTTTTTAATCTTCGTGAATAGTAAAACTAAAATACATAAAATGAAACAGATAGAGTATTATTTATCGAATATATCAACTGAGAATGTATAAATGGATATGGGCTTATGTACTAAAAGGGCCTCCAGCTTGATTGAATTTAGTCCATGCAGCCCAACTTATGTATAAGTTTGGCTTTCTAATGATGAATACTTGTTGAATCAAATTCTCAAACCAAATTCATTTTCTTGTATTATTTATTAATATATTATTTAGCATAACATAAAAAATAAAAATGAAAATGTTAATTACACACAATTAATAAAAATGAAGAGGGGCAGAAACAGAATTGAAAGGAAGGGATAACAGACCGTAAAATGAGAGAAGTATTGAGAAGGATGTATAGATTGTGAGTTAAACGTATTTGACTCTAATTTATCGTTAAATAAGATTATTATTTTTTGCTAATTCGTTGCTAAATAAGATTAGATATGAAATTTTACTCTTTATTCTATGTTAATTATGTATTTTAGTATAATACTATAAATGAGAGGGATGAAACTGCAATATTAGGAATTCTAATTGGCCTATATGTATCTTCAATCGAAATTTTGATGTGATTGTTACTATATTTTGAGATAAAGAATCATCAAACTTTTGTGGAGATGTCGAAATCAAACAATATTATCCCAAAACTTTGATGTGCGCTTCTACTATCAATATGAGATAACAAGGGACGTCAAGATGGATGTGATAAAGGTGATAACTCTCAACAGTGCCAAGGAGATGACTATGACGGATTTAATTTTTAATTTAATATATGAAGAAATAAACACACAAAAAGTTAAAAAGATTAAAAAAAATAAATAAATAAATAAATATATATATACTAATTTTAACTTTATATAAACGATACAATTGGCTCTGCCCATGAGTTCGCCTCCGGCCCTCCAATGACAAACATAACCAACAATATAACTTTGCAAATGAAGTGATTTAAAACTTTTTAATATAAGATATAAACTTTCCACGGAAACAAAAAATACTAACTAATTTATTTTCAGGTATTTAAATTTTGATGGACATATTTCACATGATCTCTTTTTAGTATGGCATATATCTAATAATATTATCGAGATATACGTAAACTGACTGAGACATAATCATTATAGGAGTATAAAATAACAAAAGGTTAGTTTGCAAAGAAAGCAACGCCGTCTAAGAGCATCGAACGGTATCGAAATGGTATATTCTGGTTTATAGTGCAACCATAATTGCATATTCAAAACAAATATAGGTCCACAAAATTTCAAAATAATTAATGACACACTACCTAACTTTTGGGTGAGAGTTTTATGACCCTTTTATTAGTTTATTTCAGCACAATTAATTTTAGTTTAAATATTAGTGTATGGGAAGTGCTAAATGGCCAGAAAATTTTAAAAAATTATAATATTTTTTTTATTTTAAAATAAACTGATTTTTTTCTATTTTTTAGTTAAAAGGTATTAAAGTTAAAAGGGTAAAAATGTTTAAAAAGGTAAAATAACATAGATAAAATATTAAATTTAGTGTAAAGGATCAAAATAAACTCTTTATGTTATACATTATGAATCATTTCAATGAAGTAAAATATATTCAAGACCAAATAAACACCTTTATGATACATTAGGACCATTTTGGTTATTTTCTCTACATTTTCGTATCCAATGACATAATTATTCACACGTAGGGGCCCGGGAGATACCTAAGTGCAGTTGCGTGCGTATAAAAAAGGACAAAACACTCCACTATAATTGGATTAAAATAAACCCCTTAGTTTTAAAAAAAAATTAAAAAAATTTCCTTGAATTAATAATTGTAGCGTACAAATATCAACTAAAACTAGATACATTGAACCTGGACATGCTCAATTTGGATCTATAAGAACACTTCCCTCTCGACGGTTTCGTAATATCACAAATCAATTAATCAATCTCCTACCTTCTCTTTTTTAGCTCAATTGTAATTTTTATAATTACTCTCTAATCATGTTTTCCACCATTGCTGTACCTTCCGGCAAAGCAAATCCGCATCGGCGGGAAGTCTCCGCCGTGCCGGAGAGCGAGGTGCTACGGAGAAGAAACGAGGAATTGGAGAAGGAATTGAAGAAGAGCATTGAAAGGGAAGAGAAAATGAGAGAGGAATTGCAGAAGACATGGGAGAGGCTGAGGGTGGCGGAGGAGGCGGAGGAGCGGCTCTGCTCTCAGCTCGGTGAACTTGAAGCGGAGGCTGTTGATCAGGCTCGGGCATACAGGACACGTGTTATCAATCTGATGGATCAACTCTCTTTGGCTCAGAAATTTCTCGAGTCAGCTTCAATTTCTGTCCCTAATTTTCAATGATTTAAAACTAGGTGTAGATGTGTTAGAACTTAGAACGGTTGTTTGGATGGTAAATATCCTTCAATTTTAATTTTAAAATTATGGGCTCGAATCATCAACGAGACAATAGAACATGATTAATTGGAACATGCTTGTAAAATTATGTGTAAATTGTAATATATTGTTGGTGAGGTTTTTGTTTCTTTGATCTTCTATTTCCTCTGCTCTTGCTCTGTGGTACTTCATCTGATCCTATTTAGTTATCGTCATTTTAGGTTATCATTATATCTTTGTTTAGTTTTATTTTGAAATTAAATTTTTCTAATTTATTTTGATTGATTAAATTGACTAATGAATATGAATTAATTGTTTAATTTTCTTATTTTGAGCAAATTCATACTTTCAAGACTAATGAGTAAAATGAAAAAATAATATATGTATTGATTTTGTGAAATGAGGAATATTAATCGACAACTAACTGTACTTTTTTATAAACAGAACTAATTCGCCAAGCCATACTGATAGGATCGACTACTTGAGCCCTATGATAACTTAACTCAATCCTTTTTTACAAAAAAGATATTAGAGGTATATTACTAAAACTAACTTTATTATTGATACATTTGAACTTTAAATTTGGCTATTATTATTTTATATAGTTATTTAATATTAAAAATAAAAAAGATAACTATAATAAAATATTATTAATTAAATAAATAAAATGAAATATCTATTTCTATATAGACACCATGTAATATAAAATGAAGGGAGTATATTAGATGTGAAATTCTGGCACTCAAAGAATAAACGAAAGGTTATCCTGGGTTATTATTTATCCTGATTAAGAAATAAATTAAAGTAAAAATATGTATTATTTAATTATAATTTTGTGATGACAGTATATAAAATTACATTAACTATATTAGAAGAGTCAGTGAAGATTTTGGTATCAACATGCCTGCTTGGCATTTTGAAGGGTATTTTAGTTATTTTGATTATTATATTTCTTCTTGGCAGACGTTTTAGCCATTTGTTAGTGTTTATTAAGGTGATAATGAAAAGCCTACCCTCGTGTGGGCCCCAGTCTCACTCTTTTGGATAATTTGATTGCCAGTTGCCACTTCTTTACTCAACATACATCATTTCTTTCAACTTACCATTATTTATTTATGAGAAAAAACATAATTAGCACATTCAACTATAACACTTTTTCTAGAAAGACATTCAAACTTTACAAGGATCCTAATATTTTATTGAACAATTTGAAAGTAATATAAATATCCTATTTTTGGATCAAACACACTTACAAGAAAGAAGGTGAAGTCACGCACCAATTGTTGCTTGCCATGTGTCAATTTTTATATAATTTCTTAATTTTTATTTATGTTTTTTTTTATTAGTTTTCATTCTTTATTTTTTCTTTCATCTTCGCTTAACCCTTCTGTTGGTCTCCTTCGTCCTGGAGTGGCCGCCATTGCTACAACACTAAATTAAAATTAAAATTGGGAAATAAAATCTGCTTTCAAAATTATTATTTTTCAAATTAAAATTTCTATCAAAGTCTTTTTTTTTGTTTATTTTTCCTTTAATTTTTGCTCTAAATCAACCTAGATTGTATTTGAAAAAAAATAAAAATTCTCTCTCCGAACGCAGATGAGATTATTTTTGCTTGGTCTTAACAGGATTTCAGCCCTCGTAAATTGACCATGGGTTAATTGAAATAACGCCGACGATTCTATCTTCGAAGTCGCCATCATCTCCCTGGAGCTTCTCACCCCAGCCAGCCAAGAAGGAGGAGAAGAAATCTGAGGATGAAACAACAACTTTGTTGTTGCTTTCGTTATCAATGGAAGAAAGCCGACTAAAAAGGCATTTTATTTTATGGACTGAGCTTGTGTTACTTAGTTACAATCAAATCTCTCAGTCGAAATCCAATCTAAATGAAAAACGAAAAGAGAGAAAAATAAAAAGAAAAAAACTTCGAGTTGTTGTCATCTCCTTCAATGGTGAAGCTCACGAAGAAGAAGAAAGAAAAAAAAATTAAACAGTAAAATAAAAGATTATTTAAATAGTTAATAAAAAATATTGCAAAAGAAAAGTTTAATCTTATTCTTTTTTGGTTTCTACGATCTTCAGGTGAGTGATATACACTCTCTCTATAAAATATCGAAAAATGGTTCAATAATTTCACATTAAACTAGTTTAGGGGTGTATTAGGACCCCCGCAAAGTTTGAGTGTCCTTTTTTTAAAATAGGTCTTACTTTAATGGGGTAATTATGTATTTTGTCTTTATTTATCTAAACATTGTTTAGTTGTATGTACTATTTATTAACATAAATGTATGGACATTATATAAAAAATAATTTTTAGTGATATTTAATTAGCGGTAATAGTTTATTGCCATTAAACATATATTTTTAGTGACAATTAGCTTTTTTGGTAAGTGTCCTTAAAACCTATAGCGAAATTGGATCTAATGACAATTAACTAATGTCGGTAAAAGATTTAACACTCTTTATTAATGTGTATATTTATTGCTATTAAAAATTGTTTTTGTTATATTGGGAAGAAATTAAATTTTTGTTTGGCTATTATCATTTATAATGTAAAATTTATATTGATACTTACTGTACTTACTATATTTATTAGCGAAGTAAATTTAACTTTTTAAAAAGTAACTTGCAATATTGAATTTAAATCCATATTTATTCGTATAATCTTATATTTGAATTGTGAATTTGACTTTTTTAGTTTTATAGCACAAATTAGATTAATTACATAGTTAAATATTGGTATTTAGTTCGAGCTAATTTATGTGACACAATATTTAACTAGACACAAGATTTTTTGAAAAATACTTGATAGTTATAATTTAAAATGGATCATAAATTTTTGTGTGACTATAAATCAATCTTATATTAAGAATGAAATCAAAAGTCTAAAGCTAAAATTATTTCTACCTATCAAGTTAAGTTTTTTTTCAGAATAAAAATAATTGAGTTATCATTACTCACTCACTTTTAGCCAAAATTTCGTTCAATTGATTAATTGTTGAACTCTATTTGCGGTTTTACATTAATTATATCATAATATACATTTTGTTAGAGAGAAAAAAAAAAGGACATTAAAATTATAACTTAACACTTTTTTCAGAAAATACAAATTTCAAGTGAGAAAATTGTGTTGCAAGATTGGGTATATTTAAGTTCAGATAGTCAAATAAATGAGTGTTTTTAAGATTGTCAATAGTTCAAGAATGAAACTAATAATTCACGTCGAATTTAGGAGTGTCTAAATACTTCTCTAGAAAAACATTGTGTGATATAATCTAAATTTAAAAAAATAAATTAAATTGATGTACGGAAGTATTCAAATTCATATTGAGTGCAACATAAAATTTCAATAAGAAAAAATAATATTGAATTTAATAGTATGAAAATATAAAATTGAATTTAATAGATATAAAATGAAAAATATTATATTATATTAGAAACGATAGTCGAAACATAAAATAAATTTATGTCCACTAAAAAATAATAATTAACATGACTATTTTACTATTTTATCCATATTAACTATGTAATGTTTAATATTGAATCTTGAAAAATGAGTTGGAGAATAAATAATTAATGCTAAGATTAATAATTAAAAATAATAGTTATCTTTTTTGGATATATTAAAAGTGACAAATATAAATGAAAATCTATTTTAAAATAATGAAAGTGTAAAAATGAAAAGAAAGAGTATATAATGAAAATGTTGGGCCGTGGGCAGCACGACGTTCTTCATCTAGTAATTTGTACAAACATTGGTTGCCGATAAATTCTTACTCCATTTTAACAAAGTATATAAGATTACATGAGACAATTATCATAAATTTTTTTATATATTTTATTTTCTATGATGATATTTATTTTGAATTTTTAGGAAGACACTTATTTTGAGATATATTTTCTTATTGTTGTTACAGCAAACATTTATTTTAGGACAAAGAAAGTATATGTGTGAATAATTGCTCTAATTTTTTTTTCTTAAACTTACATTCCCTCAATCAAACAATTAATTATCCACTATTTATTTGACACATACCTTAAGAAACAATAAATATTAGGGGTAATATATATTACTATATTACTTGAGTATTTGAATATATTAAATTTATGTTCTAGAAAATATATTAGACATTGAAAAGTATTTAGAGAAAAGGACCTGATATACACCTCAATTTTGTTATTTAGAGTTGATTTATCCCTAATTAGGAAAGTGACTCATATATACTCCTATTGTTATACAAATGACTCACATATACCCTTTTCCTCTAACGGAAGTGAAAAAATAATTTTAATTTAATTTTTAAGTATTTTAAAAATAAAATAAAATATATATATATATATATATATATATATATATATATATATATATATAAATATATTCCCATATGGGTATACTTAATCCTCCTCAAACATATTTTTTTTATTTTTTTTATTTTAATGACTAATTTAGATTTATTATTTTGATGGTCAAATTTATTTATGGTCCTATCACATATTTACATTAAAAAAGAATAAGTATTCGTATAAATTAATGACGTGCATGCGCTACTATTGCCTATCAGTGCAAACATTTTGATGAGTTATGTCGGAAGGATGTGAGTGATGATAGATAAAATGCTATGCTCATTATGGTGATTTTGTTTTGATTGATACCAAAAAAATGGCCAAACACTGCAGACCTTAAGCTTATCTTTAAATTTTATTTTAGCACTTTAATTCAATCTTGTTTCATTTTAACCTTTTAATTTTAATTTTTATGTTCCATTTTGGTAGTTCTAAGTGATGTGGCAGAGTGTGTACATCACACTTTCTCTAAGAGAGTGAAAGACAAAATTTTATTTTTTAAAAGTAAATAATAAAAGACTACCCTTCAACTCTATTTTTTTATGTACCATTTAACACAAAATACTAATTTTATGATTTCTTTATTTCTATATATGTTATGCAACTGCAATTTTGCATTTCAAAAATCGGCGTTCATCCGTTAGTTATTGTAAAAAATTAAAATTGACGGATGATCATTGATTTTTTTTATAAAAAAAAGTAACAATTTCTTTTTAAGAGTTTCCTTATATTTTTGCATGAAAAATAACTGACGAAAGTGCGTCAATTTTCTTTCTTGAGAAAATCAATGACAACCCAACAAAGTCTATCGAGTTTCAACATTTTTTTGTAGTGTTATTAATTAGCAATGAACATGGATTTTTTTATACTCGTATTTAGTTGAATGAAAAAATAGAAAGCTGATATTTGAGTTAGTTCAAATAGACTAGATATAAAAAAAAATATGTGGTGTTATTTAATTTAATTAATTGTTTAAAAAAGAAAACCAACACACTTTCGTCGATTATTTTTTCACACAATAATGTACAGAAACTCTAAAAATTTTTTTTTTTTTAAAATGATGTTCATCCATTATTATTATTTTTTAAAAAAAATATGACGTTGATTTTTAAAATGAAAGAACATAAATAAAAATAAATAAATCATAAATTTAGTATTTTGTGTTTAAATGATATTATATAAAATAGAGTTGAAGGATTAAAATGGAACAATGCTAAGTTAGCATGACAAAATGAAAATGGGGGCAAGTTAGAGGAGTTGTGTATGTGTTTTTAATTGGGTTTTGTGCCATATCATGGCATGTAATTAAAGTGCACACCTCCCACTTTGTTGATTATTTGGAAAGAAATGTCAAAATGAAACATAAAAATTGAAGTTAAAAGGATTAAAATGGAACAAAGTTGAGTTGGAGTGCTAAAATGAAATTTAAGAAAAAGTTTAAGGGTCTGCATATGTGTTTGGCCACAAAAAAATTGAAAAATTTGGAAAGGATAAAGGGATAAGCAATTCCTGGCCATTCACTCAGCAAATGTGGAAGATGTCAAATGCTCCTTCAGCAAAGTTTCTTTTCAAAAGAGATAAGAGTTTCATCCATTGAAGATAAAACATTCAAATGTATTATTATTATTATTATTATTATGAAAGAGTTAAGGACTTATTCACAATCTATCGCCTAATCAATTCTGTTTGATCACTTAGTCCTTTTTTCAAAGATACATATTATTATTATTATTATTATTATTATTATTATTATTATTATCACTATCATTATCACTATCATTATTAGTATTAGTATTAGTATTAGTATAAATAATCCAAAACATGGCTTGATGATGACAATGAAAGCATGACAGGATGATTAGAGGTATTGAGTCTAATCAAATATCAATTATTTTCTTATTTATGATTTTTTAATTAACATGCAAAATAGAAAATGATCAATTAATTTTGGGATGGAAGAAGTAATTAAGTGAACTTTGCTACATTTTTAAAACAAGTTTTCATGGAGCTAGGGTTCAACATATGAAAGAGTTAAGGACTTATTCACAATCCATCGCCTAGTCAATTCTGTTTGATCACTTAGTCCTTTTTTCAAGGATACATATTTTTTCGGTTAAAAATGGGAGGTCAGAAGTGTCCAAGCACGAATAACTAAAGCATATGGTTCTACAAATTGTTAAAAGTGACTGACTATTCATCGAAACTGATTAGTCTGAATACTTATAAGGTAGACTCGATTCACCCGACTTCTCTCAAATTATACTTATAAATATGCTTAACAATAAAATACTCTGAAAAGTCCACATACAATGATTTATTTTATAATTTTTCACTTAAAAATAAAATAAGAGTTCTTTTACATTATATATAAGGGATTCCTCAAGTTGCAAATCCTTATATAAGGGGTGCAAAAATCTCAATATAATGGTGACCCCTTCGCTCTTCCTAATGTGAATTTAGTGGTCATCCTTTCCTATGAGTTTCCACCAACCTAGTGATATATTAACCACACTCATCATAAAGATCTTTGGTCCCTTTATTTTTCGTCAAAATTAATTCAAGATCTCTCTACTCATACGTAGGAGGAGCTTTATGTTGACTTCCTTCTAATCGATATTCTTAAATATTAAGGCATCAAGAGATCTCAGATTTCTAATTCTTATCAAAGCAGGTTATAAACTTCATATTCAATTTTAATTTTGAATAAATTCTTAAATACACCTAAGTTAATAACGTCTTGTAAATAATTTCCCCAACCCAAAGTCGAATCCTTCTTCAAAATAATACAAATACCACCAATAAAAATAATGAAGATATATAGCATTAATAATAATAATAATAATGAACACAACAAAAGGGAAGGATTTGAAATGAAATCCAATCTCCTAGAAATTGCTATTTTAGTTGTTTTTATTATCCATTTATATTTTTTCTTCTTTATTGAACAAGACAGATTGGAGAAAAGGTGGGACCAAATCTGCAAAGGGACACATCTTTCTATTTTTTCACACGGAGAAGGGATAGTAGAAATATTTTTGAAATCTTAGGTCAAATACAAATTATAAGTTCTATACTATAAAATATTTTAAAATTAATTAGTCAAACACAAATTACTACTTATTAAAAATAATTTTCAAAATAAATAAAATTTACAAGTCCGACCTAATAACCTATACTCTATACAATATCAAGATGTTGTACTATCACCATTAATATACATCGAGCAATGTCTCTTATTTCTTTCATCTAGTATTCTGTATCTATATAGAGACTCAATTAAATTTGAATTCGTACATTATAATATATATTTTTAAACACAAAGCTCTCATAGGATTAATTCTTACTTTTCAAAAGTTTAATCTCAAAATTTTCAATTGAATAGGAAAGAATCTCTGTCATTCCATTGCTACAGCTTCTATTTTGTCCCACTGAAAAGTAGATCTGAATGTTGTTCACAAACTTTGGGTCCATTAGTACACACACAAAAAATCAAAACTGACACCAATAATGTACATTATACATAGTCCACCAATTCATGTTAAGGCTGTGAGCTGTCCCCACTCTCCATTTACAATTCTCTTTTGTTTGTTCTTTCGTTCCGTTTCATTTTACGTAGCATCATTGAACTTTTTAAAAAATTTATGATCTCCAATATGTTTATTACGATGTTAAATAAAATGAAAAATTTTAAATTATTATGAATAGAATAACTAAGGTAATATTTTTTAAAGCATGCCGAAAAGAGAAGAATATCACAAAAACATCAAAGAATTATACTATTTTGGTATATGTAATGACATTATACGTAGAAAGAATGATACATTAGAGCTTTGGACATATATAATGTGAATGGATGCAGGATGCTTGTATCAAAATAATAATATATTTAAAGTAATTTTACAAATAAAATTTAGAGAGATTGTAAGTTAAATGAATTTCTAAAAAATTGTATTTTGAATACTGTCCAAATGTTGCTTATAAGAAGAGGACAAAAACTATCTGCTCTCTGATTACGTAATAAATCCCCTGAATTACAAAAGAAATTTCCGAGGCCTTGAATTAATTAATCGTAATACCTAGATACATTGAACCTGGACATATTCAATATTGGGTCCATAACAACTCCTCTTAGTATAAATAGATCCGTTTTTTGCAGTTAAACCACAAATTAATCTCATAGCTTTTCTTTCTTTCGCTCAATTAAACTAATAGCCTATATTTGCTTCCACTAATTTCTCAACTAATTCCGTTTATTATGGCGCCGTCTATAGCAGTGCCTTCCACCCAAACAAAACCGTATCACCGCCGTGAGATCTCCGCCGTGCCGGAGAGCGAGGTGCTCAGAAGAAGAAACGAAGAATTGGAGAAGGAATTGAAGAAGAGTTTTGAGAGGGAAGAGAAAATGAGAGAGGAATTGCAGAAAACATGGGAGAGGCTGAGGGTGGCGGAGGAGGCAGAGGAGCGGCTCTGTTCTCAGCTCGGAGAATTTGAAGCGGAGGCTGTTGATCAGGCTCGGGCTTACAGGACACGTGTTATGAATCTGATGGATCAACTCTCTTTGGCTCAGAAACTTCTCGAGTCGGCTTCTGTTGTCGTTCCCAATTCCCGATGATTGTAGGGGAAATTGGGTTTGCCAATTTTTTTTATTTTTTTTTGTATAATGAAATGAGATATAGAAGTATTTGGAATTATTGATCCGACTAACTTAAGATTTATATATCGAGTAGGCCTAAGAAGGGTGAAACACTCGTTTTCCATTTTTCGGAGTTGAGTTTCAATATTGTGGTTTGATAGCTTGTTCTCATCTATCATTTCCCTTTTAATTTGTCTATACCAATGGAAACAAATACAACATAAAAGTAAGGCATGATATTTAAATGGGAAAATTACGCGGAAAAACAAACATATAGGGCATGTTTGGAAGGACACCTTGATAATTTGATTTAGTGTAATTGAGTGTAATTACACTGTCTATTCTGTGTGGTAATTACACCACCTGATTTCTTTTTAATTTATTTTATTTATTTATTTATTATTTTTATTTTTATTTTTTTTACTTATATTATTTTAAGTTCTTTTTTTATTTTATATTTCATTTTTTTCTCGTTCTCAACCTTACTTCACGTGATTCTATGCATTTTTTTCGTATTATATATTTCTTTATGCCATGCTTATTTTCTCATTAGCATAATTTTATTCGTATTCTAATTTTTAAATCAAAATAGAATTTATCGTTAAGGTTATAGACTTAAGTTTTTTTTTAAAAAAAAATCATATTTATGTATGCTATGTTGAAATTTGTTATAAGAGTATTATGTTAATTTTTTTGTTTTGAATTTTTAACTTATGTTATATTTTCAATTTCATTTGTTTTAGTAATATTGAATTCACATTGCAAGTCATTTTTTAATTAGACTTAATAGATCATCTTTTTGTCAAACATTTAATAATTTATGACATTTTATTTATTTATTAATATTTTTATCAAACATGCATTTCACGATGTTCATAGAATGTTCATACTTTTAGTTTTTATGATCAATTCAATTGAAATATATTAATTTGAAAAAATATAAATCAATTATTTTTCATAATATTAGTTAAGAACATACGTTTATTAATTAATATATTTTCAAAAAATATATATATCTTAAATATTTAATTTAATATCATCAGTGTAATTACTAGGCTGGTAATTACTACCATAGCAATTACACCAATTCCAATTACCAGGTGGTTTTCCAAACAAACTCATACTAGTTAATTAGCTAATATAGATATAGTTTGAATTAATTACGGCTCACAACTTAATTTTAGTTTTAATTATGTCACTTGTCATCTTTTATACATATACAAATACAAATTATACACACACACACACATATATATACAATTATATGTCATATATACAAATACAATTAGTCTTCTCTCCGCCCTCTGACCTTTCTCACTCGCCTCTTTCCTCTCTCCCAATCTCGCTCGCCTCTCTCCTTCCTCTCTCAATCTCTCTCGCCAGATGTACAAATACATATGTATATCAGTTAGATATATACTATTATCTGACAGATATACATATACAGTTTGCCTCGCTCCACTCTCTACCCTCTCTCGCTCGCCTCTCTTCTCCCTCTCCCAATCTCCCTCGCCAGATACACAAATACATATGTATATTAGTTACATATACACAATTATTTGACAAATATACATATACAATTCGCCTAGCCACGAATCGTAATTAGCAAACTATAACTATAAAGCATAATTAAATTATTTTTGAGTGATTATATGCGAAAATTCCCCTATATAAATATATCTTTTAATTTGGCTTCGTTTTATATTTATGTTCTTTCACCTTTTGGTGTACATAAGTAGACACTTAAACTTATATAAAGTTGCACAAATAAATACACACATCCTAATGTCCTATGTGGCATCCTCCTATGTTGGATCCTAAGGGCTCGTTTGGTGTGAGGGATAAACATAAATAGTCCTGGGATAAAATTTAGATGTCTTATTTGGTTGATATATTTGGGATAACTTATTCCACCATTTATAGTATAGTGATGGGATAAGTTATCCATATACATAGTGAGATAAGTTATTCCAGAATAACTAACCCCATGATAGTTAATCCTGAGATAACTAGTTCCCAACCAAACGACCCCTAAATGTATTATGTCACATAAGACTCACACAAGTTTGAGTGCCGACGTGCACAATCAAAATTGAAGAATTGAAATAGTGTCAAATTAAAGGACATAATTATATAATTAATGGATACTTCCTCTGTTCATGTTTACCCTACAAATAAGTTATCATTTTATTTTTATTATTATATATAATAAGTAGGTACAATGTAACTGTAGGGACATTATAATATTATACTTCAAGCTGTGAAAGGCACTTCTGTTATTGGTGCTAAAGAAGAAATAATTGGTGCTAAAGAAGAAATAGTTAATGCCATCTTTTTCTCACCCAAGTTCTGTTAGCTATTAATTGGCTTAGTTCTCAAGTCCCATCATTAATATGGTGAATTGGCGAGTTCACTTTTTCTGATTAAGTTGTTGAAATACCAACTACATCCACTAGTTAGTAGTAAATCCATCTACTTCAATTTATTTGTAAGATTTTTCATTTCATTCATTTTAAAAAAGAATCTTTGTATTTTTATTTTGATAACTATTTAATTTTAACTTTTCACATAATATACTTAATTAAAGATCATAAGGTTAAATTATTTTTTGGTATATTTTGCATATCTTTAGTTTAAAATTATAAGATTGAGAGAAGTGCTAATTACTCCTCCTGAACTTATAACTCTTTATTTAGCAAACACCTTAACTATAACAATGTTAAAATACCTCCCTGAACTTGAACTTTATTTTTATATGACGGGTGCACTCTTATTGTCCACCTAACATGGAAACTGAGTATAAATTCATTTAGGTGCGAGGGGGATTTTTTTTGCCACATCAGATTACTTCTAAAGGTAATAAACGTGAAAATTACTATTTTTCTTTATTTTTGTTCTCCATCGTCGTAAACAAAAATGAGAGATAATTACATAATTTGTATTTTAATATATTTAGGTGATCTAGTTTGTAAATTAGTCATTAAATATAGAAGTTTTGTATAATGAACTTCGATCTCTCAATATTGAGTGAACTAGTTATTATTGTATATATTAAGTTGAAATTGTTATAAGAACTCATTAGCTTCAAATTCTAGAGTTATCCATAGTATATGAGATATTATCTTCTCTCGCTTCCTTTTCTTTTCCCTCTACCCCTCTTTCTCTCTGTCCCTCTCTTTGTATTCTATCAAATATAGTAAATTAATACATTGAAAACGAAGAAGAAGATACATGTATCAATTGTGTCAATATAAATTTTTGTATCAAATTGTGTGTCAACCAAGGTTAGATTGTATGTATCAAGTATTTCTATACTTCTGTCTTGTGAATGAATAACATGTATGCATTAAATACAACTTATATTTATGTATTTTTGTATCGCGAATGAATAACATATATATGTATTGAATATAATCTATATTTCTATGTCTCAAATGAATATAAGTGATATAAAAGCTCCTTTATGTACTGAATACAACATGCATCAGTTTGTGTTTTTTATTGCAAATGCATACAAGCGTCGTTATAAAAAGTGAATGAATACAAGTGATACAACATGAATTAACCCCGTATATATGTTTTAGCATATATCAACTTATATGTATTGAATACAATATATATGTATCAGACTTAATTCGTTGATACAATCTATCTCTAGCATCTCTCCCCTAATTTCGTTCACCTATTCCTCTTTCTCCCAATCTCACTCGACTCTCTTCTCTTGCTATAAATGGCAAATACTAAAACTATTACTGAGGATTTTAATTAGGCCCAAATTACAATCATTTCTAAATATTCCTCTTAAAATTATAGTTCCATAAATTCAAATTCAATAGAATTCTTCGTTATTTAACTATGATATATATTGTCGTACAAAACATCAATATTATATCACATCTGGTTGCTTGATGATGATTATTAAGTGTGCTAACTATCTTAATTAATAATCTATATATGTTAATCTTGGCCATTCCGATTAATAATACTTTAAATCGAAAGATATAGATTATATGTGATTATACATATATTTTACATGAATTATAAATATATTATACATTTTTCATTATTTTTAAAAGGTGAAATTTCAAATATAGCTAAGAGATGAAACTTAATAACGCTCCTCAATTTGCCTAATTACGCTCCATAGCTATAGTTCCATTTGCTATGCTAATTTTCGTTTGTTTATTTCGTTGTTTTTTAAATAAATTATACAAATTGGGTTTATACAAGTAACATATTATATATAATTATTTGAATTATATACAAACTATTAATATAAATAAATAAGTAATTGTATATAAGTGTTGAAATTATATATACAATTGATTCTATAAAGTATTGTGGGTATACCGGAAAAAAATATACAACAAAAAAAGAAAAAATATATTCAACTAAACACCAGAAATGAAAGTTTGTATATACACAAATATGTATAGATATATACAGTACAATACAAAATTATTAATGCGTATACAAATACAGAAGTATATACAAATTAATATATACAAATAAGGTTCATAAAAATACATGTGAATCTTCATAGCAAATTTCATTAAACAGTAGCCGCGATTCATAATTATATGAAACTATAACTATATAAAATAATACATTACTAATGTTTGTCAATTCACATAATTTTCCCTATTTTGAATTAATTGATAAATGACTATTTAAGTTAAATTCTTCCCGTAAAGACTACTGTGAAGGCCCAAAAATTTCCAATAAAAGATGTTAATTATTGTCTTCGTTAAGTACATACTATTTATATTCTAATAAAAGAGGTACAATACATATTACATCAGTTAAATTAAAACTGGTCAAATTATATAGAACATATAAATTTATCTAATCTAAATCAATAAATAAAAATATAGGAATGGATTGACAAAATCTAGGATAATTATATAAAAATATTAGCAAAAATTTAAGTAATGATAAAAAGAGAACGACCTTTAGGCACACTCTAGGGCCATAACACAAGGTATTTTAATATTTTCATGTTATTTGGATTAATTTTTTTTTATTAATTTATAAATTGTGACATCCCAGTTTGAAAATTCCCCAAAATTGTCGGCAAAATATTCATTAAAATAAGAATAGGGATTTGAGGAAGATCACGTCAATGTCATAACCAGAAGTTTAATATAACTTTAACTAATGATTTTCGATAGTTTGCTTTATTATGTTAAATAAAAATGTATTATCTAGTGTAAGAGTCAGCAAATTTGCCTTTCAGATATTTTAGTATCGTAGCATTTATTGCTTTATGAGTTATCCCATATTAAACTGGATATACCATATATAATATCAAAATTGTAATATAAAATTATATTGATATATAGTGTTTATACCTAAAATGAAATGTCAACCAAACACAACTGAGTTGGATACAAAATGGACGACAAATTCCTAGAAATTACCATTTTTTCCTCATTTTTTTTGTTAGCTCTTCTACTTCATTGAAGAATAAATTCTGAACTTGAAGGGACACTTTGCCCTCACCAGTCACATATTAAAAAGGACAAGGGCAAAATTTCCTAATTTCAAATAGTTCGAGAGTAAGTTTTTTTTTTTTTGGTGTTAGAGTAACAGTTAGTAATAAAAGTATTTTTAAGTTAGTTGACTAACAGGAAAAAAAAATTGAGCCAAAATATAATGGAAGATAAAATTAACTTGTTTCGGATAAGTTCAGATATTTTAAATCTTTTTCTCTAAACTTATTTTTTTAAAAACTTTGAAGAGACGCTTCCCCTCACTAGTCGTATATTATAGAGTGGCGAAGACTCAACATCGCAATATGAAATTTTATATTGCAATCAATTGCTTCATTACCACGTACTTATGGAGTAATTGTTTCTGTATCAAATTAAATGACGCAATAGGTCGAAAAAGTCGAGCACAAAAATTTGATGAAAGCTCTCCCCTATTAAATTAAGAGGACTTCTGTACTTAAGGTAAATTTATTTAATAAGATATAGAGATTAAAACGAAAGATAAATACTTTTAAAGTTTAGTTCCTGATATAAACATGTTTATGTGTTTTATCGAGTTAAGTATCTATCGGAAACAATTCTTTTATCTTCTTCGGAGGAGCGGAGGGAAATAAATGTGGAAGGGAGACTTAGAAATATGAAGAAGCTGTCATCACCAATCACGTAGAAGAGTGGCCGACCCTCAACATTGCAGTTGACAACTCATATGAATAACCTAGTCCACAAATTTAAGTCTAAGCATGGCTCTATTATATTCTATCGAAGTATTATTTTTATTTATTTTGGTTTCTTATCGATATTCATATTGAAGTCCGATTAATTCAAATTTATATAGCATAAAGCCTTATTTGAAGGAAAGCGCTACCTATTGAGTATTGTTTTTCGTATTCAATGACGTGAGTGACACGAAGGCATTAAGAAAGGATCCCCTTTGATACTTAGGTTCGGCTGGCCTTTCACTTGCCCAGGCCAATACACATCTCTTCTTGGCGCTAGCCGATTCGCTTTTCTTTTAGCAATTTAAGGCAGAATCGGATCTCTTGGGTGGGGTGGGCCATTCCATCAAATCTTTGAGAAGGGGCTCAGTCTCGTATTTGATGGTCGGCGTGGCGATAGGCTTCGTTTCTATGACTGCCTTCCCAGCAGTTGAAAGACTGAGCGAGAACGGTAAGGGGCGGAAAAAAAAATGAGTAGAAAAAGTCATGCGACGCTAGAACATAAAATAGCGTCGGTCCGTTCCAAATAGAGTTGAATAATACTTAGGTTTTGCATTTAATTTTTGTTCAAAGTATATTTAATATCTTAATGAAAATAAAGTACAAATTTTTATTGGGGTAAAATGATGATAATTAAGTAATTTAATTCTATATTCTCTTTCATTTTTTTTTCTTTCTCGTTATTAAGTTTGTACTACTTTGCTTTTTTTCCTAATAAGGTATCTAATCTCTTAAAAAAATAAACACAAGGGCATAGAACAAATTAAATTTCACATTTCTTCGTTCTTTTCATATTTCAAGTATTACAGTTAGCAAATTCAAGTAATAGAATTTAGTTTTTAAATAGAATTATCAACGTCTAAAATGGAGTTAATTGTTTTTAACTTCGAATTATACTTTCTCACTTGACAGTTGTTATTTTATTTTAATAATTTTACATATAAATATATGTTATTTTCTTAATTATATTATATATTAGAATTCAAATATGTTAACTAGAAAATATTAATAGCGTTGTTTCACAAAATTAAAACAAAAAAGAGAAATAAAATTCAAATATACGCTAAAAGAAAAAAGAACTCTTTAGATAATGCTTCTAAAAAGATTAAATATATTGATTATATAGTAAAATGAAAAATATATTATCAGAAAAAACAATTGTTATTATATACCGTAGATATATACTTTACATAAGAACGAATATTAAAAAAAAAAAATTAAAAAAACAATTTATGAATTTTTATAAAATTTAGCTTTAAACCACGAATAACCCTACGAGTATAGTCGGGTTCGCAAAGCGACGCCCGGAAACCACGGTAAAAAAAAAAAAAAAAAAAAAAAACCCTACGAGTAAAAACTAGAGATCCAAATAGAGTTGAAACGCAAACGCTAGAGGGTAATAGATACATTGAACCTGGACAATGCTCATTTTGGCGCTATAAAATCTCCTGTAACTCAACGATAGTCATAACAAATCAAATCAACATTTGCATATCTGTTTTTAAATTTAAAAAATACTAGTTACTCCTTTTTTTTTTGTTTCCACCATTTTTTTTCAACATCATGTTTACCACCATTGCTGTGCCTGCCGCCCAAACAAAGGCCTCCGCCGTGCCGGAGAGCGAGGTGCTGAGAAGAAGAAACGAGGAATTGGAGAAGGAATTGAAGAAGAGCATTGAAAGAGAAGAGAAAATGAAAGAGGAATTGAATAAGACATGGGAGAGGCTGAGGGTAGCGGAGGAGGCGGAGGAGCGCCTCTGTTCTCAGCTCGGAGAATTTGAAGCAGAGGCTGTGGATCAGGCTCGGATCTACAGGACCCGAATCCATACTTTAATGGATCAGCTTTCGATGGCCCAAAAACTTCTTCAGTCTGGTCAAATTACAATTCCTGATTCTCAATGATCAATTCATAGAGTTTGATCTTTCATTGATTTTTCTCCCTCTTTTGCCGATTGACATGAATAGTTTTAATTTTTTTCGTCTTTCTCCGTTTGATTTTGGCGCGTTGTGTATTGAATGCGGCCGGTTTGGTTTGGCTCCATGTAAATGACGAGAGGAAAGATTAATTAGGAACTCAGTGTGGTGTGTGTATTGACTTTCTCTCCTTTCGTTTTGGAGATGTAATGGGAAATTTGTGTGTACATTTACATTTATATGTTCTTTCTTCATCAATATTCTTATATTCAACCTGATTCTGCGAAAATGATAAATGCGGCTGAATACACGTATTTTTCGTACTCACTCCATATTTATTGCACTTTTATGTGCAAGTTTGGTTATTAACACCATATCAGGTCATCTTTCAATTTTAGTGTTGGGTTAAAATATGTGCCCTGAAAACGGAGAGAGCAAAAACATCTCCATTGGAACGAACTTTTACAATCCTCAGTACATTTCGAAGATCAAAGTCAGCTTCCATGCCTTAGATGACTTTCATAAGTTTAATTCATTAGACCAAAAAATAAAAGGCAGCCAGTTCGATGGTGATGCACTAAGCTCTCCCATTATGTGCATGGTTTGGAGAATAGAACGGAGAAACTATAAGAATTCTGCAGGAAACTATCCTGAATTTCTGCAAGAAGCTGTTTCTATAGCTTGAACTTGTGATCCTATAATTATAACTTTACTAGTTACACCAACTCATTATACTAATATACACATGAGCGGTTGTGGCATCCTGCAACCAAGTGTGTCGATCTTCTTATTGTTGTTATGTTCATTTTCTTTTAAAATCGACCCGAATTAGCTTATGCTCAACTGATCAACATGTCAAATAAGGGGTTCAATACAATTCCCTTCACCAAAAAAAAAAAACATTCCAATTCATATTTGCATAAATGGTTTTCTTCTTCATGTAAACGGTTGAATTTCTAACATGATCAGTAAATATCTAATGATAATAGTAAAAGGAGTTCAAATCACAGATGCAAATTGTTGGCATAGAATTGAAACCACTAGGTAAGTCATCATATAGGAAATCTAAAAAGGAACAATAATTAACTCCTTAACTTAATTCATCCTTTTCCTTTTTCCCTAAAAATTATCTGGATGTGTTTTGGGCTCTGACAAAGTAGAAGCACTTTCCTTCACACTAACTGTGAACCTCACCATGCTATTTTTTTCTTCCTGTTATGGTATCAAAGTATTTGTATATCTCACTGCTCCAGGATCTATTTTTTTGCGAGAGGTTTGAAAGTCACTTGATGGTAAGAAGAGGAGACCATTCTCGATTTTTCAATGCTTCACTATCCAATTTCTGCTTAGTAGGACAGGTTGGTCACTCCATCAACATTGCCGTTAAACAATACGTAGTCATTGCTTTGTGTTTGGAAAGTTTTTTCTAATATCCGCAAGAACAAAGAAATTCATTTTGACTATTTTTTCTTTTAAGAAAAATTGAAGCACACAGAAAAAACATATAATACACAGAGCAAAATATGTTTTAAACATGCTAAGTAAACAAAAACCTTATATAACCACCAAATCCCCAATCAACACTCCAACAATTTTTAATAATCCGATACAATACAATATCACCATATCCATAATCTATAACCAATAGTGCATAGTGACCCCCACATAACCTGAAACATCAGAACTACCACGAATTAAGTGTACTGATCTTGAAAAACAATAATCTTGATGCTGATATAGTTGACACCCAATAATGAGGTGTCGTTATAGGATCGATAACACAACATCGTCACTCAAAATCTCCCATTCATCAATAGTCATGTTTAGACCGATTATGAAATCATCAAAAATATGTATTCCACTCTCCATAATATATATATTATCAATTCTCAAAATAGATATTTATAGATATTTAAATTTGATATAGATGGTGGAGGGTCGGTACAAGCCTAACATCGAAAAAGGTTTGCATCTATAGGACTGCAATACAATCACAAATAATAATATATGTTGGCCAGGGATCCTATATATATATATATATAGGATCCCTGGCCAACATATATTATTATTTTTATTCAAATGGTTTTCAGAAATATTTTAAGTTATTAATTGTTCTGATTTATAAAAATTTTATGTGGCACGATAGAATTTTAACAATTAATTATTTTTTATGTTTTAAATATTTAAATTGTTAATTATTGTAATTTGAAGTACATTTTACATAATTTTTAAATAATATATGTTACTTCTCATGTCCCAATTTATATGAAATTGATATAATCTTTTAAATATTTGAAGTTGCTAATTATTGTAATTTAAAGTACATTTTACGTAATTTTTAAATAATATATGTTACTTCTGATGTCCCAATTTATATGACATTAATATAATTTCGAGAATCAGCCAAAAATTTTACATGAAATAATAACTTTATTATCTTAAATTTTATTAATTAATTTTATTTTACATGAAATAATATTTTTTCTGCACACTCTAACAACAAAGAAAGCCCAAAATAGCTAAACATTACATCTGAATGTGTGGGGTCCGAGTAAATCGTGGTATCAACACTTAGATACTTTTTTTGACATTTTATAAAGGCTCAAATTTCAGTATATTTACGGATGTGCATCAATGAATTTATTGTAAAATGATGCAAACGAAGGGTAGAGTTTGAAAAATACTGCTGCCAAACCAACAAAAAAACATAACAGGAATTAGAAGAAAAAATAATGACACAGACAACTTTCAAATAAATCGTACAAACAATTAAAGCAAAAAGTAAAAAGTAGAATTAGCTAGTAAATTATCAACTTACCTTGTTTAGAAAGCAAGCATGTCAACAAACAGCTACTTCCTACATATTAATATATATATTTTATTTTATTTTTAAAAATGCATATACATAAAAAAAACATGCAAATACATCAATAAGAAGAAGAAAAAATGTTGCATCTACATACCAAACGTCCGTCGAAATGTCGGATATCTAAATTGAATGAATGAATCCACTCAAAAGCTAAAATTCCCGTTTCTACATACTCGAAGAACATGTTATTTGTTTTTTTTTCTTTCAAAATAAAATCAACACTGAAACAATCCTAATGTGAGAGCAAACTTGACATGCTGATGGCAGAGCATCCACACAATAGGTTGCACATCTATATTTTTTGTAAAAATTAGGCAAATGACATAGTATAAGAAAGAAATTATTTTCTTTCCCTACTTTTTCATTAATTACCAAAAATCCCTTTTTTTTAGTGTTTTTCAGATACTTAATATAGTAGTGTGGATACTTAATATAGCAGCGCGGATACTTTAATTAATAACGGGCGGATACTTAAATTATTAAGTTATTAGCAGCACGGATACTTAATTAATGGGCGGATGCATAATATAGCAGCGCGGATACTTTAATTAATAACGGGCGGATACTTAAATTATTAAGTTGTTAGTAGCACATATACTTAATTAACGGGCGGATGCATAATATAGCAGCGTGGATACTTTAATTAATAACGGGCGGATACTTAAACTAATAAAGTATCCGGTTAAGCTGAATTGGGGGAAAATAAAGGATTTTTGTATTTTAATAAAAGAGTAGGGAAATATTGAGAATAGGTAAAGAAGTGTTGTGTATTTAAGTAATTTTTCCATATTTTTTTTTGATATTACGTTTATTAGTTAAATTTTAAAAAATGATATATATTTTTATTTAAAAATCAAAAATATCATTAAATTATATGAAATTAAATAAAATGTACTTAATTAATAGTTTGATTTTAAAATGTATTTGTTGTCAATAATTTGGTCTAAAATTTTCAATAAAAGACACGTATTCTTTTGTATTTTTATACTTATGTCTTATAGTATACTATGCTTAAAAAAAAAAAAACATTAAGTTAACTAGTAATATTATTGCTATTAGTTTTATATTGGAAATAATTAATTTAGATTGATGAGATGTTAGCCATGTAACTTTTATACAATATTTTGGATGTTATTGTATAAAATTTTATTTATTAATATAAAAATGTGTATAATTTAATTTAAAATTCTAAAATATTCTATGACAAAAAGTAGATAATTTTAAATTATTTTTTTAACGGACTCTAACATTGTCAAAATAAAATAAAATTTAGAGGAAACAATACAAATTCGGTTAGTTTAACTAGTAATTACGTTCGTTTCACAAATTACCATTTGTACCATTTTTAGGTACACGCATATGACAAATTCAAATGATTTCTTCTCTACCACCTCAGATTGAATGCAGGCTTGAGTTATTTTTCTTATGGGCCAAGTGAAAATTTATTCTGGTAATGAGTGGCCAAGTCTCGAATATTATATCCAAGTGTGAAACTATCTCACCTAAAAACTTATATCATTAGAGAGAACACAGTTGTAGCTTTATTCCCCCAACTAAAGGTCCGTTCAGCAAAAATGACACTCCAATTTTTCTTTTTCTTTAAAATAGTGGACAAATCTGATGTTTCTAGCTCAAAAACTTGATAAATAGCATGTCTGCCTTCTTAACTGATGGCAAGAACTTACACTCAAAAGAAGTTCCATAATAGCCTAGTTCATCGGAACATTATAAAAACATAATATGAAACTGTCACTACTTCTCAAATTACAGAACAGGTCTTTCCCACAAAGGAAAACTTCATCTTTTGTAGTGAGTTCATCCTCGCTTCTTTCTGAGCTCCGGATCCCTACAGCCAAAAATAATAATAATCCCAAAAAGCAATTTAAGGATTTTAATCACTGAAGAGTTAACTAAACAGAAAGTTACTTCACGTAAAACATTATTTCACCTTTGTATATGATCAAGAATAAGAAGCCTTGGCCCAGGAGGGATCCTCACATCTCTAAGAGCACTGCAAACAGGAGAATGGAGTGAGATTTAATTGTGAGAAATGCATAGAATTAGTACACAGTTATATGGTGCAACATATCTTGCCTATCGGTGAGTAAAGGCAAAGTGG